CGTGTTTCGACTACTGCTATGACCAGCTGCAAAGCTGGCACTAGGGACGTCTCGGTTGATGTTTCTGTGTAGTATGGTGCTAGCCCAACTGAGGGGATATAATGTATAGGCCTGGTGGGTTCAGGGTCTTTCATCTTACATCTGCCTGCGAGCAGTTTGGAGGTGCAAGATACCTGAGCGTGTAATGTTAATTTTACCTGTGATCCTTTGAATAAATCAGCACTGTTTTGAAGTTACTTGGACTGTCTCGTCTCTCAGAGTTAGCAATGGTAAGAAGAACCAAAGTCCTTCATTACAATGAAGATGCAGACATTATGTCTCCACAAAGTTACAGCATAAAGTTCCAACTCAGTAGAGTTTGACAGTCATCAATACAGTTTTAATATGTTTCAAATATGCCACCTTGGTGTGAGAGATTAAGCTTTATTCCTATGTCCAGGGGCCATGGCCTTCATATAGTGTGTGTGTGTTTTTTTTGTTTCTGACTGTGATAATTGATTTTTGTGGTGCTTATTGAACGGGTCTGTCCAAATCTGTTGACCTTGACCATTTTATTCCTGTTTAAACCGGTGGGAGAGAATTGTACTATATTTACTCTAAAAGCGGGTGGGTAGGTTGTCTTGAAGGGTAGTATTTTAGCTTTTGGTCTTAGGTTTTTTAGCATTAATTCACAAAATTATACATTGGCTGAAATAAATCCTAATTCTTGTGGATAAAGCAAGCGTCTCTGTGTTTTTTCAGACTTATTTGAGAGTGTGAGAACCCAGTTCTTGTAGAGTTTGTATGAAATTGACCTATTTATTTCGGAACGATGATAGTCTGGGATTGGGATGTACTAAAAAATTAATTGGTGTCTGGGTTACCCAGGCCTCTATATTGGCCTGTCACAGTTTAAAAACACATTTTCAATAATTCATATGGAGAAAAAAGCGTTACTACTGTCATACATTGTCATTGTTATGCCCCAGTTCTTTTATTGGACAGATCTGAATAACGATGGAGTCCGTCTTTCTTCATTTTAGTGCTGATTTATTTAAACAACAAATAAAGATTACAGAACACAACTCGGGTGGCTCCCTGCTCCAGACAAGCTGCTGGAGGAAAGGAGCTCTCGGAAACACAGAGCCTAATACATTTATAAGTTTTTGGGCTAACCCCTTACACAAAAAGATTACAAGCATCATGAGATGGAGACAGTCCGACGTCTCCATCTCTTATCTAGAGCTCCAGCTGCATGAAGCCGCTGGCAATAACAAAATTAAGAATTTAGATGTGTGTGTTGTCACGTGGTGCGTAACTAAAACATTCATTCAGACATAATTCTAACACAGGATGAATACAAGAAAACAATTGGTGTCAAGGTAACTGTAGCTCACATTTCAGAATCAACACTGTCTTCTAACCTTGAGGCAAAGCAGACTAGAACAGACTTTGATTCTTACTAAATTGCATTACTTACACATGAATGTCTAATAATTATCTGACTGATTTACTAATATCTAACATCATTATTAAACACATAATTCACCCACAAACAATTCTCTAATTATCTAATAAATGCATATACTTGCCTATCTAAAGTAATGTAGTTAGGAATGGTTAAGATATTGAGTGTGCAGGGATTACTAAATAATGCAAAAAAAGAAAAATTCATTTTAAATTTACACTTAGTAGTCTCAGAGGTCACTGGACAGGTTACATGGGTCAAACACAACACGCTTGTCAGATGGTGGCAGTGTTGATTCACACAGAGCTTTCTTGAAAGCACAATCATACATCTTCTCTGGAATACATTTAATAACATGAAATAGCACTGGTATCATTTATTCACAGTATTATTAAAAGGTGCATAGTAAGTTCACTTGTAGGGTCTATGTGTGTGTGAAGAAGTAAGCCGAGAGTTTGTGATCCAATAAGGTGTCATAAAACAGGAGGGAGTCTATTGTCAGGCCAGAGGTTTTTGTGTATTCTGCAGGCTCGGGAAGAAAAATGGTGAACAATAGGAGGGGGTTCTGAGGTGTTAAACACGTCTGAAGAGACAGTCCTCTGTCCCTGCCCTGTGAAGGAACTTGCACATGGTTTGCCCATCTGCTGTCAGGTTTGTTATAGGGGATTTGTTGGGTTTTTCCTCTATAATAGTGTTAGGTATTTTTAGCCAGATAGATATTGGATAGATACTTTATGTATTAGAAATGTTTAGTGGAGATAGAATGTCTAGTTAGACTGTTAAATGCTTAGGCCTGCTTATGAGTTTCTACAGGGTACATCTGGTCAAGGATACAAGAGAGAAAAGTTGATGACTGTCAGCAGACAGGGTGTATAATATTATTATTATGACGTGTATAACTGTAGCCTTAGCCATAATATGCTCTTATGTTTAAGTCACAACATGTTACTAGAGGTCGTGAGAATGTTTTTAGCTACACACCACTTAAACAACAGACATACACATTCACACGTTGATTTGGGGTCTTTCATCTTACATCTGCCTGCGTGCATGTTGGAGGTGCAAGACACTTGAGCGTGTAATGTTAATTTTACCTGTGATCCTTTGAATAAATCAGCACTGTTTTGAAGTTACTTGGACTGCCTCGTCTCTCAGAGTTAGCATGGTAAGATGGACCATATCCTACAATAGTAATAATAACAATAATAACAGTAAGGTCTATACCTTACTTTGTAAAGTGTCCTTCAGATGAGTTTTGTTGTGATTTAGTGGTATACAAACAATATTGAATTGAAAATTGAATTGACCCTGTGCGCACTGGGCAGAAGGGATGAAAATCCCCTTCTGACTCATTTCTATGTGGAGGGGGAAAGAAACCGTACAGGGAGATGCCCCTGGATCGAAAAGAGGATGTTATTATTTTTGGCATGTACACAGATCTTGGTCTCAGGATTGCCAAACTGTAATCCTGGTGGATAGAGAGGTACGACGATGGGACCTAAAGCGCGCACAGATTGTCCACACGTTTAGCCGATATCAAGGTTAGAAGGAGCGAAGTTTTCAGAGAGAGGAATTTGAGGGAAATCTGTGTCATGGGTTCAAAGGGGGGTCCCCCGAGCTTGCGCAAAACCAGGGGTAAATCCCACTATGGCATCATAGAATGAACCACAGGACACTGTCTACAAACTCCCCTCAAGAAGCCTCAAAACCCTTATAGCAGGGTGAAGCTTTCACAGTAGACAGGGTCAGGTCTCTCTCTGGTCTGTAAGAAGACCAACACCTGAGCCAGTGAGCATGCCGTGGGAACCATGCCTCTCTCCACACACCACCATTTCACCACATAGGAAGCCATTGTTGATCAGGTCCTAGTGCCCTGAATTGTGTGTATAACCGCTGGAGGCAGACCTAGGCTCTCCACATCTTCCCATTCAGGGGCCCAGCCCACAGGCACTGCCCTCTCAGTGAATACTGTTGGATCAAGCTGTCCAGCTGAGAGAGTGTGTCCTTGTGCTATGGGCACTGCCATGGCTTGCCCGACAGCAGTTGGACCAGTGTTGGAAAGCATGATGTGCTTATGTGCTCTAGGGCTACTAGTCCTGTGTACAGTATGCAAGAGGAGACGAAGGATCAGTGGGATGGGAAGGTGTAGAGGAGACCTGTGGGCTAGGGGTGGTGAGCAAAGGCATCTACACCCAAAGGACGTTCATCCCAATTGCTCATGGAGAACCATAGATTGTACCATGCATTCCTAAAAGCTAGGGCTCTAGTCAGGGACTTTCTGTGCAGTTTGCATGTTCTCCCTGGGTTTCATTAATTTTACTAGATGCAGCCTTTTGTCTAGAAGGAAGTGACACACAGCCAAAATTAAACTAACAGCGTGATAGATGTGTAATTAATTCTCTAGTTTCTGTTTCTCCTGGTTTCTCTGAGATTATGATTTGTTACTTAGAATAAGGCTGTTGATAGAAATATTCATCCCTTTCAAAATAATCACAGAAAGAGAAATGAATTTTCGTAGATTTTTTTATGAAACAATCTTTTAATTTCAAATTGAGAAAATAAATTTTAATGTTAATTTTTTTATATTATTTGAAAACGAGTCAACATTTCTTTCCTGTTCTATATGGCACATCTTATATACAGTATATCTAAAAGCAACCATGAGAATGTATGTAAATAAGTATACATGTATGCATGTATCAATCTAGAAATTATTTGATTAAATTCATTTTAGTCACTAATTTAACACTGTAACCGGAAACTGTAAAACCCGTGATTGGTATTTGTATTTAGCTATGTTGTGAAGGACAACAACCTCAGGTCGCTGAGAGTGGTTTTATTTTGAAATACAACAGGAAGTCTTGATGTGTCCAGCATTTAGGAACTAGCTATACCTCTCCCGTTTGCCCCGTCGACAGCAGATCTCCCTGCTGTGTCTTTAAATTGTTTCAGCGCCATACAAACAACATTTTGGATGTTCTGCCCGAAGCTCTCCATTCTCATACCCCTAAAGTCAGTGTGTGTTTCTGAGGATATTTGTTTTTTCTGTCGTTGCGTTTTGAGCCAAAACCAAACACAGACGTAACTGTGTTTAGGCTGTTTCAGTGGGCGGATAAAGCGAAGGAGCGCACCCGAGCAGTCGGCTTGAAACGGCGGAATTCACAATTTTCAGGTAAATTAGCTCAAATGTCATTTCTCGATAATACCCAGGCAGTTTCATTATGGACCCCGTGATATTACATTTCGTTCTGCAACGGAAGAGGAGGTGTGAACAGTGGTGTGTGGAAATGACAACACAGAGGAAACGGCAACTGAAAATTTAATTCAGCCACATTCAAACGATATATTTTTTCAGCTACTGTCCGTTTGACCCTTAATAATCACGATTGTTGGGTTTGCCCCTCGCACAAAATTCTAACTAAGATAGTCTTATTTTGCATGAAAATAGTTGTTTGTTTGCATAGCATGTGTAGGCTATTGACAACGAGGCAGCGGTTGGAGACAGTAGCTGGAAAAATATATTAGATATTAATGCAGGAATATATCCAAATTAGACTAACCTAAACCATAGATATACTGCCTGTTGAAATTGAGTGAGAAGAACATTCCAGCATTAGTGTTATGATGTCTGGGTGAGAATTGGCATCATACAATAAGGCTGACATGGGCTGAGATGAAATTCAGTCGAATTAATTCGAATGCGCCACCATCACCACCACCAAATTGTAAAAAATAAGAAGTATAGAATTGGGCTTAATATTTTGAGGTAGAAAAATTAAAAAATTGAAAAATCGACCCCGCATTGAAAGCTTACATGATGTATTTAGAACGTGTAGCCAATGCTTCGACCCACTTGTCTCCTTCAGGGCATATAAGCTGCAGGGGTAAGATAGTCAGGCGAGTCTGTAGAATGGACACTTTGTGGTAACATTAACTTTGGTGCCTCACTTGGATAGTGAGATTGCCCATGAGTTCTCAAATGTGTTATTGTACTTGAGTAAGGCATCTGCTTTTTTGCAAACTGTTTACCTTGACACCACTCTGGTGTCATTATTGTCCAATAAACAAAAACCTTGCTCTGTACTATCCTGCATTTTGTCCTTGCAAACATAATGTTACTAGCCTACTTTACTGAGAGGTCAACAGGACATATAACTGGTCAAGCTGATGGCGAATTTTAAGAACATCCTGTTGGACCGCAAGGCAAATTATATCAAACATCCTGTTGCACTTATTCACATAGCATACACTGTTGGATTTGAACAGGTCATTACAGCTCAAATAGTTTTAACCATATTTGAACAAATGTTCTAAATTCAAATAAAAAGTGACAGCTGTACTATACAAATAAATTTTACTGAAATGAATTGAATTTGAATGCCATGGCACACACATTAGTCCAGCCAGTATCCTTACTTATCTGCAGTACCGTATCTCCACTATAGTTAAAAGAAAAGTAATGGCACTGTTTGCAATTTCCTAGTTTTCTACATAAATTGGTCATGAAATATGATTTGATCTTCACAAATATTAACAATGTTTCTATGCCCCCTAATAGTTGAATAGTCGAGTCATTAATTGAGAGACCTGTCAATTGACTGAAACTCTTCTAGTCAAGCCTTTGGTTTTATTTTATTATATTAAATTTTTTGTCAGCACTGTGCATAACAATAGAAGGTATCCCCAGCCTGGTAGTCTGCCAAGCAGCAATTTGCTCAGTAATTCCCCCTGTGTTCAGGTGGGAATACCCACTTCAACTGTGACACTGCCCAGTACATGGATTACATTAAGGTCAGATCTATTTAGCAAATTGTGGAACAAGGAGAAAAAGATAACGAAACTCAATAGGACAAGCCACATACTACAGGTGAGATTTGTACTTCATTCTAAGTGTTTTCAGACATCGTGGTCAGCTTTTACAAGAGAAAAGACTGTGGTGGTGATGTGGCTGGTGTTATGAGTCCAGGTTGTTTACCCATCTCTGTTAAAGTGCAACACCCAGCCATTTACCTCCTGTTTCTGTGACATGCATCCATCCTAATGGGACTATCAAGATAAAAATGCGCAGGGAAAACATTTCAAAGAGGAATTGTTCTAACTGCAAGCTGGCGCACATCAAACGGACAGTAACAACATACACTGCGGTTAACCGACGGAAGAGACTTAAACTTATTGGTAAACTAGGCTATAATGATTCAGAAAAAGTTTGCACAGGGTATTGCTTGGGTATAGAAAAATATAAAAATCTACCTCTGGTGTGCTTCAGTTTAAGGATTCCTCTTCTCAGAAAAGTTAAAAAAAAAAAACTGAGGCACTTGAGGATATCAAAATATAAAAATCCTTTAATATTTCATGGCTATACAGATGTGTTATCTGTCTGTTGGCTGCAGCGAGATCAAACAACAACGGTGACTTTTTTGTCCTGTCATCAATTTAATTCACAGAGTTAGCAATAGATAGCGATAGCTGGTACGACCCCACTGATATAAGTTTAACCAATAATAGTGCCAATTAATAGAAGCTGCTACTTGAACAAATTCCACAATGGGCTTTGCTAACAAGACTGCATACATCACTGCAACTGCTATGCGGCACGGGTGGCATTGTTGGTGGGGGTGGGGTCTTGAATATTTGAATGCTAAAACTGAAAATTGATTGCCTACCCAACAAACAAATATTCAAATATTTGGATATTCTGGTCCAGCCCTACTCTGTAGTAGATTTACTCGATGTTTAGGGTCATTGTCCTGCTGCATCATCACTGAATGCGCTCAACTCCTGCTGCCAGTGTTGTGTGGAAAGTGGACTGCACAACGAACCGCAATGGCGTTAATTAATAATTTGATTTTCTCCTCTCCTCCTCTGGGCAGCACGGTGGCACAGTGGTTAGCACCGTTGCCTCACAGCGAGAAGGTTCCGGGTTCGGGCCCCACCCGGGACCTTTCTGTGTGGAGTTTGCATGTTCTCCCCGTGCTTGCGTGGGTTCTCTCCGGCGACTCCCGATTCCGTCAGCTCTATAAACTTTCACAGAAGTAATAGAAATATTAAAGGGATAGATGGTGATGTACTTTGACATAAGGTGGGGTGTGTTGCTTATAAACAGCGGTGTCAGTGTTTGTACAGTAGATGAACTCGGGCTCTTGATCCTGAGGTTAGACATATCAGTTTTTGAATAATGATTGATTTCAACTGCAATAAGAAACCAAACGGAAGAACTGAAAAATTCCTCTTGTATAAAAGGTATCGATTTAAGGAAAAAATTGTTTCAATTTAGGTAACATGGTCAATGACCCACTGAATTAGGAAAAGAACAGCTGATAAGGGACACTTGATACAGGGTCAGATTTAGGGAGCACACTCACTGATACCTGATGGCTGGTTTTGGTTAAGGTTATAATCATTATTGATTGATACCATAAAGATTGGAAATGTGGGTAAACTGCTAGCCTGGCTCTATGTTTTTATATGTATGTTTACACTGAATGTTGCTCACCAAAACATATTGTGTGCATCCTTGAGGACTAACAAATATGTTAAATACACTGACCACCCACTAGTCACACCTGTACAATTGTATACATTTCAATACAACACTTCCGCTATAAAAGCGATTTCTGTAATGCATAGAAATGCATTATACAAGTATAAGACCATTTACCATTATTTCTCCCTCCTCCTCATCTCCACATTCAATTTTTCACAGCTTTGAGATTGAATATTAAGCCACATTTTCCATCTCATTTCCTCATTCTGATAATGTAGTTGGGAAAGAAGAGCAAAACAGCAGCAGAAGAGGAGAGATTAAGAAAGGAAGGAAGATGAGATATGGAAGTAGGAAGGTGGCTGTGGTGTGTGTGTGTGTGTGTGTGTGTGAGATCATTAACCCGGTAATTAGGCCTCATCATCTATTGTCTCTCCTCCCTTGCTCGCCTTTTGAAGTCACCTCCACGGGACTCCCCACAGTGCAATAGGGAGGCATCCAGGAGCGTGTATAAGAGTGGTAGAGTAGTGATTGTAGGGAATGTAGATCAAAATGTATGTCTGTGTGTAAGAAAATTTATGAAGATTTTGATGATGAAAAGAGGAGAAGTCTAGGGAGCTTAGCTCTCAGCTCTTCATGTCAGATTGCTTGCGCTGCTTTTTATGTTCTCCCCCACACACATCATTCATTGGGCAGATGCTGTACACACAGATTTATACACGCACTCACAGATCAAATGAATGTTTTTGTTTTGGTTTGCTACTGAGATAAAACCTGGCTTTGTTGCACTCCTCTCTAAGGGAAACAAAGAGCGCTTATCTAACATACAGTGTGTTTGTGTGCTTAAGGGGGAAAATGCGTATGTGGTTGTGCGTGTTTCCAGTGCAGTCATTTTAAATTGCTTTTGTGATTTTATGTTATTTATACATTTATTTTTGTATGCTTGCTTTTCAGTGTCATTAGATGAAATGTACTCTTTTTTTACCATTACTGGACTGCCTGATGTTTGTGTGTTGTTGGGGGTGCTGATAGGGCCAGCATGATACACATCCCCTCAAAGTGGGCTTATCACACAAGTTACAGGACAACACAGCATACACACTGTGAATGGGAGAGGGGAAAATGCTTAACGAATGCTAAAATTCTTTGCATTTTTTAATTTGTAGAGAAAGGACATAACAAAAACGCCTCACAGCAAGTGTAAATGTAGTCATTGTTGCTGTTCAGCTCAATGGTCAGTTCTGAGACAATAGCTTGTAGTGTTTTAAAACAAACTACAAACTGTTAAATGTGTGTGGATGCTGATATACTTGAGGATTGCCCTTTAAATGCCTGAAATCAATTGCTGAAACTGCCGAAGGATGAGGAAAAGTGGCTGAAGTTCTTTTTTTTTTTTTAATAGTTGAGAAGAAATGGCTGAAGTTTTTTGTTGATTATGCTGAAGAATGAAATGCAATAAATACCAGCAAGAATTCCCTTGAAGAGCTGGACATTTTGATACCTGAATGGCTTTTCTAGATGAAAGTATGCTTGGCTTGTTAAGATGCGAAAATTTTCCCATTGGTCCCCACAAAGTAGGTAAAACAAGTAGGTGTGTGTGTGTGTGAGCAGTCCCCACATAGTAGGAAAAACTAGGGGTGTGTGTGTGTGTGTGTGTGTGTGTGTGTGAAAGAGAGTAGTCCTACACCCTG